CAGTGTACCTTTTCAGTCTTATTGCTGAAACCTCTCTTTCCTCTCCACTCTAATCATACCAAATCACTTTTCAGTTCTTTGACCATGTTATATGCTCTCTTAACTCTGGGGCTTTGCAATTGCTATATCCTCAGCCGTGAGCCCCCTTTCTCCTGCTTTTGTGTTGGCTAATTCGTGCCCATATTTAGATCTCAGCTTAGACCTCACTTTTTCTGAGAAACCCCTCTTGATCCTCCTTGTCTAGGCTAGTGTGTTAGCACCTAACCTAGCAATTTCCTAGAACTGCTCTCCTCACACTGCAAGGAATAGTTCATTTATACATTTGGATTGCTCTCAAGATTGTTAGTACCATGAAGGCCAAACAGCTGTGAGTCCCTTGGTATCTGGGGGGAACTGGTTCCAGGACCCCTGCAGATACCAAAATCTGGAGATGTTCAATGCCCTTATATAAAATGGCATAGTATTTACATGTACATTCTCTCATATACTTTAAATCATCTTTAGATTGCTTATAATGCTTAATACAATGTAAATTCTATACAGATGGTTGCTATACTGTATTGCTATATTTTTATTATAATTTTTAATTTTTTTGTTCCAGATATTTTCAGTCAGCATTTGATTGAATTAACGGATGGGGAAGCTGCAGATTGGGAAGACCAACTGTATTTGTCTTGTTTGTCGCTGTATGCTTACAGCATAACCCCTAATCTAGCACTTAATAGTCCCATAATAATTGTTGTATGAATTACTGTTATTACGAATATGAGCAAGGTGATAAAATGGTTAAGAGTTGAACTCTGGTTTCAAATTGGCTAAAATCAGCAGCTACTATGACAAAGTCATGTGTCAGCATCGGGCTCAGCAGGGACTTTATTGGGAGTTGCCTTCCAGATGGGCATCCGAGAAGTTGGCACTGGATGGTCTCTGGGAGATGCTTCTGCTTCAGGGAGTGGTCTCTGGGGACTGTTGTTATCTTCAGAAGAACCCTTAAGATGAACTGGCTCTACCTTTAACAGGAAAAGCTGCTGAGAACCAAGTCTGGGCTTGGCAGCCAGTGGGGAGGGGAGCTGTCCCCAAGAGGTGCTGCTTGAGGATGCTGTTAGGAACCCTGGCTGGAGGTGCTGCCCTGGGCAGATGCAGGTAGTAGCATTGCTTCTCAAAGGGGCCCCAGGATTACCTGCAGCTAGATTCACCTAGAGAGTTTGTTAAAAATGTCTATTCCGGCCGGGCGCGGTGGCTCAAGCCTGTAATCCCAGCACTTTGGGAGGCCGAGGCGGGCGGATCACAAGGTCAGGAGATCGAGACCACGGTGAAACCCCGTCGCTACTAAAAATACAAAAAATTAGCCGGGCGCGGTGGCGGGCGCCTGTAGTCCCAGCTACTCAGGAGGCTGAGGCAGGAGAATGGCGTAAACCCAGGAGGCGGAGCTTGCAGTGAGCCGAGATCGCGCCACTGCACTCCAGCCTGGGCGACAGAGCGAGACTCCGTCTCAAAAAACAAAACAAAACAAAACAAAAAAACAAACAAAAAATGTCTATTCCTTGGCCTTGCTCCAGATCTTCTGAATCAGGATCTGTATTTTAAACATCTTTTTAAACATCATTTTAAAAGTCTGCTTCACAGATTTTTCTGAGGTATGTTAAGGTTGGAGAACCACTAACAGAGGCTGAGTTGAGGAGACCTTGGGATAGCAATGCATCCCAGCCTCTGCTGTCTGGAGTGGAGAGGCATTTTTGTTTCATTACACTCCCCTTTCTGAAAATCCAGCAAAATTAGAGTCCCAGGCCCTCTTTGTGGAACTTCAGACTGACTTCTCAGAACGTAAATGGTCGCCAGCCCTCAAAGACCAGCTGGAGGATGTAGCCTGGAAGAGATGTTTGTAAATCAAAGTATAACTTTCTTTGAATTATTAGGCATTATATGTACTTTTCTGAGGAGAACTTGAATGAGCATTTGGTTTGCAGCAACTGTCTTGTTAAAAATGATTTTCTTTTGCGAGAAATCTCAATTATGGTAGACGAGCCTTGGTCTGGATTCTTCCTTTTGGGTCCTTTGAAGGCGACAGGGCCATCCTGGCACACTTGGTTCAGGTGAGTGAAATGTTTTGTAGGTGACATCTACTCTCTGTATCTGTCAAACAAAGATGGATGAGCAGGGCCTCGGCTGCTGCGGGGGACATTACCGCCTTGGTTTTTCCATCAAACTCTGTCAGGCTTTGTAACTTGAAGAAATGAAACAGGAGCTGGAGAGGGACAGTTCCTAACGAGCTGTCAGCAGGGCTGCCAAGGGCTGGAAGCCTCCCTCTCTGTCGGCCTGCCTCGGCCCTGACTTTGTTCCAATGCCATTAGGGCAAAATCCTTGATTTTCTCCTAGAGAAAAAGAAATGGCCTGGAGCTGAGAGGCACAGATTTATAAGTAGTTTCTCTCATTATGCACTTCCAATGCTTAATCACCATTTCAAAGAGGAAGAGCTATCACAGCAGACTTCGAGGATTTCTCCTAGACAGGATGCAGATCCCTTCTCCTGCAGCTTAATCAGTGTACTTTTCTCACTTGCCTGAAATGGAGGCGACCTAACTCTCAGCGAGGCGGAGTTGTAGATGGCTGTCTGTCCCCAGTGATTTTTAGGGCTGGACCAAAGAAGAATTTACAAAGTACTAACATCAAGATCCTCCTAGAAGTACAGTGCTTGCCTGGGTGAGTTTTCCAAGGAACCAGAGAGGCTGTTAGAGTCAATGCTAAGCATAACATTGGATAGGGAGGGTGTCCAGAGAAGTCAGGGAAATACAGTCCCAGGCATCTGAGGGTCAAGAAGTGACAGGCTCCATAACAAAAACCCTGCGTGTCCTAGGAGCTTTTGTTTTGAGTTTATATTTAGATTTGCTTTTTTTGTCAACCACTATATTATTTATTATAGAATTATTCATTCAAAATCGTAATACTAAAATAATAGCTTAAATAGTCTATTATCCAGGATTATAGATGGTATGACAGCTGACAGCCCTGGAATATGTTTTGAATAGTTACGCAAGTAGTACATGAATATGTTTTTGTTGTAAAATGTTTAGAGGTTTACATAGCAAAATGTCCCTTTCCTTCCCATTCCTATTCCCAGATGTAACCAGTGTCAACAATTTGGTGCATGTCCTTCAGTAATCTTTCTAGATGTTTATGTATATGTGCATGTATATATGCACTAGCTTTTACATCAATGAGTTCATGTATCACATATTGTTATGTAACTGTGTTTTGTTTTACTTAATTATATATCTTGGAGATGTTTCCACAGCAGTACATATAGGTCTGCCTCATTAATTTTAACAGTGCAGTATTGCGTCATATGGATGTGCCCTACTTATGTAATCACTCACTAATTGGTGGACATTAAAATTGTTTCCATTATGTTTGTTATTACAAACAATGTTGCCACGAGCCTTCAGGCACATACATCTTTGTACAATATTTTGGCAGGACACATTCCTGGAGGTAGCCTTGCAGGGTCAGTAGCAAAGCTCAAGCGATATTTTTCAAGCAATTTTTAGCCCCTTAGCATTTCTATGTTTGCTTGTTACACAATGGATCTAACTCTGCTCATCTCATGACTCATCACTATCAGTGGTTTTCAACTCTGGCAGTATGTTAGATTCATTTCCACTGAATCAGAATCTTTTGAGAATAGGGCTCAGACTTTGGACTTGCAGAAAAATTTAGAAAATTCTAGTGTAGCAAGGATTGAGAATCATTGATCTAAACAAAATAAAATAGAACTCTAGAACATTTCAAGATAATATTTAATATAACCAATTATGGAAACAAATAGTCATTGATTAATCTTTGTTTACTCTAAAAAAGTTTGAATAAGTCAAATTGTCCAGGTGCAAATACATTTGGTATTTAATAATTCTATTGCACTTTTATCTTTTGAAAATGATCTCTCTTTATTTATTTATTTATTTATTTATTTTTGAGATGGAGCCTCACTCTGTCACCAGGCTGGAGTGCAGTGGTGCGATCTCGGCTCACTGCAACCTCTGCCTCCTAGGTTCAAGTGATTCTCCTGCCTCAGCCTCCCCAGTAGCTGGGACTACAGGCACATGCTACCATGCTCAGCTAATTTTTATATTTTTAGTAGAGACGGGGTTTCACCATGTTGGCCAGGATGGTCGCGATCTCTTGACCTTGTGATCCGCCTGCCTCAGCCTCCCAAAGTGCTGGTATTACAGACATACCTCGTCCAGCCAAAAACAACAACAAGAACTACTACTACTACTACTACTATTTTTTTAAGTCTCAGAGCATCTTCCCTTCAAAGCTGTGAGCAGGGTGGATCAGGAATGACCTTGTCCATTTTACAGTCCAGGAAGCTCATGGGGATAAAATGATGCTTCTTAATTTACTGTGCTTGGGTAAAATCTGAGGATCATCTTAAAACACAGATCCTGATTTAGTAGGCCCAGGGTGGGGCCTGAGATTTTGCATTTCTAACAAGCACCTGGGTGGCGCTATACTGCTGGTCTGAGGACCAATCTTTGATTAGAGCACCTAGATAAAAGTCAGCTCAATACAAGGAAGAAGGAAATTCCCTAGAAGAAACTATATGTCATCGAAATGATAAATACTTACCATAACAAAGAAGTGAAAGGAGAAGGAAATACAGGGTGGGGAAGGGTGGGAGACAAAGAAGCCCTTCCTCTACATCAGCTAAGCAAGGGTGTCCTTCATCTTAGGGTCCCTTGCCCTAAACAGGGGCATGTCCTGAATATGGCATTAAAGGCATTCTAAGCTGTTGGTTGTCACACCATCTATAATTCTGGAGCTTTTCCAATATTGTTTCTTGCCTCTGACTATATATAACCTTCCCTTCTGGGGGATGCTGATGGAGCTCATGGACCCTTTAGTTCTCATTGCACCGCTTTCCATGCCTCACTCACAGCCCAGTCCTCCCTTGGGGGAACCAGAGGCCCCAACTCTGAGCTTGACCTGTCTGTGCCCATTACCTGCTCTTTTGACACAATGGTCTTCCAGAGGAGAATTTGCAGCCTAGCTCTGGCCCCCATGCCCATCACACATGAAGGAGATGCTGCGTGTCACTCGGTGATGTCCACGTACCACCAATGACAGGGCTGTCCTCTTTGGGCAGTGCCAGTATGTTTTCCTTTTAACCTTTGGAGATTCTTGTCCTATGTAGAATAAGAATAACAAACACAAATAGATGTTTCTGGTTCTACTTTCTCTTGATATTTGTGTCTTTCTTTAACTTGATAAAGATCTATGTTATTCTTACAGGAAATGTCTCATTCTTCACATTTCCCAACAGAAACACAAAGAGAAAAGTACTTATATCTTATGAATGCAAATTAGATTTTTAAAGTGATATTTTTGTCTTTTGGGAAAAAAGCTAGAAGCAATAATAAAGTGACAAGACAATAAATTAAAAATATTATTTTTAATGGGCCATTTTCTCTTGAAAACATTGGCTGCCAACATGGACTCCAGAACTTTGTCATACGTGCAAACTGTAAGGTCTAAGAGGTATAGCTGGGGTAGGAATTAGAAGTGGAATACTATCCGTGCTGGGTGGAAGATTCTGAGGGGGAAAGAACTGGCCTCAACTAAATTAATTCCCTCTATTTTATGCTTTCATGGACTTTTCCCATGAAGATATGTGGCACTTACCATGGCTGTATCTTAGTAATCTCAGATTACTAAGATCTGTAGCACTCATATATGGTTACAGTTTAGTAATCTTAGTATTTTACTTGTGCAATACTCTTACTGTTTCCCCATTAGATTACAATCCGTGAAGAAAGGGATTTTGTCTTTTCGTTCACTATGTTATTCTTAGCACCTAGTGCAATGCTGGAGCATAGTAGATGGTCAATAAATATTTATGGAATGAATGAATAAATGAATGAATGAATCATGAAAAAAAGAAACACTGGTATTGTTATGGAATGGAGTTAAACGGTTAAAATGAAAACTGGCTGGGCGCGGTGGCTCATGCCTGTAATCCCAGCAGTTTGAGAGGCTGTGGGTGGACCACCTGAGGTTGGGAGTTCGAGACCAGCCTGACCAACATGGAGAAACCCCGTCTCTACTAAAAATGTAAAATTAGCCGGGCATGGTGGCACTTGCCTGTAATCCCAGCTACTTGGAAGGCTGAGGCAGGAGAATCACTTGAATGCAGGAGGCGGAGACTGCCGGGAGCCGAGATCACACCATTGCACTCTAGCCTGGGCAACAAGAGCAAAACTCCAACTCAAACAAAAAAACAAAATACAAACAAACAAAAAAAACACCAAAAAACGAAAACTAGCCAACAGGTGGGTTGTGCTTATAATCCCAGCTACTTGGGAGGCTGAGGTAGAAGGTCTGCTTTTGCCCAGGAATTTGAGGCTGTGATAAGCTATGATCACGCCACTGCACTCCAGCCTGGCAACAGAGACTCCATCTTAAAAAAGGAAAAGCCTACAAAGCTTAGATACAAAAAAAAGATTATTGATTGAAAAAGTTGGAGACTCATTTCTTTAGTTACGCAAAAGATTAAAAGACACACACACAACCTTACCCCTTTAAACAATTTTGACATTGTTATGTAATTCTCTGTAGGCCCCATGCCTCTTCCATTTCCAGAGCAAGATGTTTCTGTGTTTGGAACTTGGAACTGTTGTCATGGAAATGAATATGATGTCAAAAAACAAATACTGTGACTTTATCATAGGAACAATGACCTCCCATGTTCTTTTTAAACACAACTAGTAAACCAGTAATATACTAAAACAATATTTTAGAAATATGCTCTACCTCAAAGGGAAGTTGTGGGAATGATTTTTAGGCATGGTTTGGTATAAAATATTCTGAGCTCTCTGGGGCAAAAGCATAATGTAATTTCAAAAACAGTAACATTTTATTCATTCTTACATTTAGTAAGTTTTTACCATGTGGGATGCAATATGGCACCGTGGAGAAGTGACCCTGGAGGCAGACTGTGTTCATATCCCCACCATTGTCTAGCTGTGCCATCGTGGGCAAATTACTTAATTGTTCTTTGCCTCAATTGCCTCATCTGTTAAATGGAATAGACCACCTACTTCACTTGATACAACTTGAATGAGTTAGTGTTTGTAAAGAACTTAGAACAGTACCCAGCATATAACAGGCACTATATAAATTCTTTTAAATAAATAAAACTTTGTGATGTGTTAGGCAAGTATAAGTAGTGAACTAGTATCTATTAAACACTTGTTGCAGACCAAGTAATAGTCATTAGGCAATTTTACATCTATTCTTATAAAAACTCGGGTGCAAATATCCTCATTCATTCCTTCAGCCAATATTTATCATGTTTGATGTCAGGAGCTATTCTAGGACTTTGGATACAGAATTGTGGTAGTCATTTTTTTTTCTTCAACTCTTAAGTTCAGGAGTACATGTGCAGGATGTGCAGGTTTGTTACACAGGTAAATGTGTACCGTGGTGGTTTGCTGCATAGATCATCCCGTCACCTAGGTATTCAGCCAAGCATCCATTAGCTATCTTCCTGATGCCCTCCCTCCTCCTACTCCCACCCGACAGGCCCCGGTGTGTGTTGTTCCCTCCATGTATCCATGTGTTCTTCATCATTCAGCCCCCACTTATGAGAACATGCAGCATTTGGTTTTCCGTTCCTGCGTTAGGTTTTCTGTTCCTGCGTTAGTTTGCTATGGATAATGGGGATTCATATTTTTAAAAATTATTATTTTATTAACTAAGGAGCGTCAATAGCTCCCCGGGTTTCCAGATCAACTCTAAACTATAGCACACCACATTGTTCTTTATTTAAAAATAGTTTCTCATAATATCTGAAGTTTTAAGTTACTACACACATACATACTTTGCTTTGGAGAATTATTTTTTCCTGTCTGTTCTACTTCATTATCATTGATAGAAACAGTCTTAGTTTTCTATTCCTGTGAAGTGTCTCTCAAGCCTGTTTTTTAAAAATTTTTATTTATTTTTGTTGACTCAGCAGGTGAGTTGTTACACATGCCTTAGTGGATTCCAACTTCCATGGCCACTGTCCTGCTTCAAACCTGTCATTTTTTCTTTCAGTAAAAACTTGATTTTTTTTTAGGTTCCAAAAATAATACATGTGTTTACTCTTTTTCTATTAAAGCAAAGCTACAATGCATAACTGTATGCCTACATACCTATCTTTGAAAACTTGTATAAATTTATTTAGGATAGACTCCTAGAGGAGAAATTGCTTGGTCAAATGGTATTATGTGCATTTTAATTTTGACTGTTATTACCAAAATGCACTCTAAGAAAAGGCTTTATTGATTGACAGTCTCCCCAGTAGTGCATGTCAGTGCTCTTTCCCCTCAACACTATTTTTTCAACATTTAAAATGTTTGTCAGTCTAATGGGTAAACATTGATAGAGTGGCTTCAATTTAATAATGAGGATGATTTTGGGTATGTTTATTGGTTATTTGTATTTCTTCTTTTCTGAATTTCTTTATATCCTCATTTTCCACCAATACAGTGAAGCTCTGAGTATATAATAGATGTGACTAATAAGCATGTTGCAAATATTCTTCCATGTTATCACATATTTATGGTGTCTATAGCCATGCAAAGTCAATTATTTTCTTTATAGCTTCTGAGATTGTGCTATGATTAAGAAAGTCTATTCCACCCTAATACTATGTTTCTAAAATATTATTTTCCCAATATTGTTTAAAATATTTAAATCTATCCATCTAGAATTTATTTTGTGCAAAGGAGAAAACCAATTTTTTAATATATCAAACAAATTTGACATAATTGATAGTCACGACATCAGATGAAAATCTGTGCTTGAAAAGGTGCATTGTTTTTAAGAGTTAAATACAATCTTGCCATCCTGAGCATTCCAGAACTCTCTACAGCCAATGCAAGGTCCTTTTCTGGGACAGTTTTCCTCCATACTCCAGGCCTCACACATACTGGCCAAATAAAAATGCTATTGTGATACCAATAGTGATTAGAAATAATACTTTATTTTCAGTAATTAACAAAAGGCAGATATCCTGAAAATCAAATAATTGGCAAGCGAGTTTATATTTTAACCTGATAATTTCCTGCTCATAAATGTTTAATTGTATGTTAGACATAAATCACTCATGAAAGCATTTTATAGCGGCACCTTCTTTTCTGGCATCTATTTTCAGGTTTATAGAAAATGGCTAGGCCAGGTATAGTTGCTCAAGCCTGTAATCCCAGCACTTTGGGATGCTGAGGTGGGTGGATTACTTGAGGTCTGGAGTTCCAGGCCAGCCCTGGCCAACATGGTAAAACCCCATTTCTCCTAAAAATGCAAAAATCTGCCAGGCATGGTGGCAGGCACATGTAATCCCAGCTACTCAGGAGGCTGAGGCAGGAGAACGATTTGAACCTGGGAGGCAGCAGTTGCAGTGAGCCAAGATGGTGCCACTACACTCCAGCTTGGGCAACAGAGCAAGACTGTCTCAAAAAAAAAAAAGAAAAAAAAGAAAAAAAAAAAAGAAATCTGGATGAAAAAGTCCTAGAGAGGTGTTGCACAACAATGTGCATATAGTAAACACTAATATACAGTATACTTAAAAATGGTTAAGATGGTAAATACATGTTTTTAACCACAATTTTAAAAAGAGTTAATTATGTCTTGCGGTTTATGTTTTTAATCAACCAACAAATATTTGAGTACCTACATACCTTGTTGTGGAGGATACCAAGAAGTGCAATTGATGGTTTCAGTTCTCAAGGAACTAGCAACCAAGTTGGGAGAAAATATTAAGTATGCATAAAAGTTAATTAACAATCTCAGGCAATAGAATGATACCAAATGAGAAGAGTCATAAAGTCTTCTAGGCAGGAATCTTTTTCAGCTACAGGGATAGAAATATTTGTTAGGTACTTAAGTGGCTTTCAAACCATTTTAATATATATTTTCTAAATTGACCCTTTTAATAAATCTAGGAGGTCTTATCTCCATTTAACAGGCGAAATAAAAGCTCAGAGGTTGTAATTTGCCCAACTTCACATGGTAGAGCTGGGAACTAGACTCAATGTCTTTCAGTGCTTATTCCTAGTGGGATTTATCTAAATTGGCATTGAAGATTTGCTGCCAAAAGTGTTTTCAGGGTTAAACAGAATCCAAATGTGCTAGAATTACCATGGTTTTATATTTGCTAAAATTAGAATTATTCTGTCATCCTGCTAAAGAGCATCAAGTAACTTTTAGTACAAAATAACAGATCTTTTTTTTTTTTTTGCTATTTACTGGTTAGGGAAACTCAAATCATACTGTGATAGAATGAGGACGAGCATACAAGGCTTCAATTTCACTATTTATACACAGCCATTTAGCCAACTGCAGTCCCATGAAAGACATTCCTTACCCATCATGTCTGACACCATTTCTTAAAGTCATAATACACATACTGTATTTGAGATAGTTCTGACCTGACCCATGTATAACAGAGAGCAACACTAACACAGCAGAAAGGGCTAAGACTATACGAGTTACACACATTTTTTAAAACCACATCCTGCTATTTCAGTAGATTGACTTCTATCCAGAAAGTGCAGGAGCATTAAGTCTGTTCATACGATAACCCTATCTGATTACCCAGGGTCAAGCTACTGTTTATCTTTGCTAGACAGAACCCATATCCTGAGTGGGGGACCTCAAACCTTCCGTGTTTTTCGCATTACCTGGTGTACCACTTCCAGGCAATCCAGGCTCTGACATTCTTTATACATCATCACCTAAACCATAATAAAAATACTCCAATTCTTTTTTTTTTTCTTTCTTTTTATGGTAAAAGTAAACACAGAGGGGTCAGGAGCTTTGCCTTTATTTTCCTTCTCAAGAGTGTGCAACATTTTGCAAAAGGACAGTGCTGCCCTCTACTGCTGAATGTTGAAATATTATTAATACATGAGATTCCTACTAGCTTTGTGTACTAGATTACCACAATCTATTACATTGTTCTAAACGAACCCTTTAAGAGTTATTTAAAAGACTGTGTTCTTGGCAAATACATTGAATTTGTTTTCTTCATTATCTCTTCATATACCTTCATCTTGTACCATCTTGCATCTTAGGACATGATGCAACCAAAAGGACATTACAACTTAGGGGAAAAAGGCTTAACATGGCTCTAGAAGTAAGAGACTGTACTGGTGATCCATTTAAGGAGAAACAGGGCAAGGAGAGGAAATTTTCTTCTGACTTCAAGGTCTGTAGCTTTCCCATTCTTCTGTTATTTGGAGTGTCTTTATTTGTTTTTTTGCTAAGGCAATTCATTTCCTTCTTTGTGTTTCTTTGGAGAAGGCTGCGGCCCCAGGATGTGGAGAGAATAGTGTTTCTAAAACATTTTCTATTATTCAGAAAAAGATAATATAGGTATACAAAGGGCTATCATTAACATTTACATTTTAACTATTAATAAAGTTGTCTTATTACCTTTAAATTGCCTTGAGATTTTATAGATCTCTACAAAGACTTCTCGGAGGCCTCTAGATATTTTGAAAATTGTGTTCTCTGCCTTCTTTTCCATTTGAAAAATATTTCGGAGTACATGCCTGCAAGAGGCCAGATCAAGCAGACTTCAAAGAGAGTTTGCCTAACCATTACCACCCTCCAGCAACCCAGGGGCTAATTTCTTATCTATGACAATAGTAAAAATAATAATTTCCATAACTGTGTTAAATGTGTGTATATCAACACTAAGCAAAATCCTTTTAAAAAATAATTTACATATAAGAATATTAAAACTCAGACACATCAAGTAATTTACTCAAAGTTTCAAAACTAGTAACAGGCAAAGCTAGAATCTGATTCCAGGCCCAAGCCTATGTATTGTTCTACTATGCTGCTCATAATTTAATAAAAAAGCTAAACAAATCTCAAAGGCAAGTGCTTGTAAACAACATCTGTAATGATAATGATGGGCCCAGTTAATATTTGAGTACTAAGTGTCAAGTACAATTCAGAGTTGTATGAAATCATTTAATTAAATTATTTAATCCTCATAACAACCCCATGAGGTAGAACTATTATTATTCCCAGATGAGGAAACTGAGGCATACAGAGGAAATCTAGTTCCAGAGACCATGCTTTTAACCATTAGGCTAAACTGCTTCTTAAGCAACATACAAAAACTATACAGCACAATTTTAAAATGGTGCCATGGAACTTAATCACGTTCAACAAGCAGGTAAAACCATCAGTTTTCAGTCCTATTGATCTATCTGTTATACAAAAGTTTCAGCAGCTTTAAATAAAGTTCTGCATGTGTGGGTGCTCAGTTCAGGAACTAACCTTAGACCCTGTCCACTCTATGCCCTTCTATGAGGTAGGAAGCAGATAAATATCCTCACTTGGTTCAATCCATGTGTGTGCATTATGGGAGGAGTCATACATAAGGGAGGGAAGGAGAGAACTGAGGGAAGAGGAGACATGGTTCCATGAAGGCACACTCAGGAAACAAGCCAGTTCATTTGAGAGGAGAGGTTGATAAAGGATCACTTTCCTTAGCAAGAACAGTAAACTCATTACAGTGGGAGAACAGCACCACCTCAGGAGCCCTATGCTTATCTTATAGCACACTATTTAGCCACACTGTGACTCTAGAACAGATCTCTTCATACAGCTTTGATTTTTAAAGAAGTATTTGCTCAGCACACAACTCAGCTTCTAAATAATATCCTACTCATAGTGCAAGCACTCACCCAAATATAACGACTCCAAAGCACTTTGTGCTTGAGTGCAAAGAATGATAAACTCATCCCTCCCCTGACTTTTTCCTAAGTTTAGGCCTTCTGGGTATTCAGGGGCAAGACTGAGTAAGATAAGCATGTGTGGCCTGGTGCAGTGGCTCATGCCTGTAATCCCAACACTTTGGGAGGCCGATTGCTTAGCCTAGGAGTTCAAGACCAGCTTGGCCAACATAACGAAACCCCATCTCTACAAAAATTCACTGCGCATGTTGGTGCACACCTGTGGTCCCAGCTACTTGAGAGGTTGAGGTGGGACAATCACCTTGGCCCAGCAGGCGGAGGTTGCAGTGAGCCAAGATCGTGCCACTGCACTCCAGCCTAGGCAACAGAGTAAGACTGTCTCAAAAAAACCCAAAAAACAAAAAACCATCCACATGCTGATTTGCTTATAGGTTCATGCAGTGCTCACTGCTCTTCTTGCCTGTCCAGCCCTGCAGGCTTTAGATTTCCAAGACAGTATGTTCTAACGGAATTCATTCCAGGTGATGCTGTTGCTATACGGGTTCCCTGTTCCTCTTTTCCACTTCTTTTGAAGAAAAGGTTTCAGGAAAGGGAGCACGGCAGAAGGGAGATGCTAGGACGACTCCTGAACAGACAGTCATAAGGAAGGCAGGAGGCAGTGACAACACCAGCCTCTTTCTCTTCTGACCCTTACTGCCCTTTCCCTGGGCACTCACTTCATCTGGCTGCCTACCTGTCTGGGTAGCATCCAGCTCTTGAGTCTTTTGCTTGAATTATCCATTCAGCAAGGAGGCAGTGTTGAATCAATTCTAAGCCAAAGAGTTAAAATTAGCGATGACTTGGAAAGCATTCTGTTTATTTCAAGACTGGCATTAAATTAGAAGGGCAGCCTACAGGACTCAAGACAGAAAGGTACTGCACTTAATCTCCAAGAACCTCACACTCCCTAGGAAAGCAGTTTGAGACTTGGATCCTACATAATATATAGGCTTCCTTCTCCCCCAGTAATTGCCCTTTTTAAAATTCAGATCAGATATTGCGGGGACATGGAGAAAAACTGCACATGGCACCTTCTTTGTCCCTATCAGCGTTGGCTTGATTATGGGGCTGCTTAGGATGTTAATAAATATTTGGTCTTAGCCAACAGTGTTTAGGTAACCTAGGGCTGTTTTTCTCCCAGGGAATGACGTAGGGAGTGACCATGATATTGCTGGCCAACGCTGTGAAGATCATACTTTTAAATCAAATTCTGAGAAGGTTAGGCTATACAATGTCCCCCTCAGCAGTTGCCCTCTGCCCCTGCTTTTGGAAGCACTGAAAGTTCATTGTCATTTGACCTTCAGTGTTGAACTTGTAATGCTTAAAATGCTATTAGTGAAACACTGTGGGAAGTTACCTTTAAAACCAGAAGCAGTGTTTCGGAAAACAAGTAGATAACACAAAAAGTTGACAGATGTTACATATCTACAAAACTTTGGCTTGTGTTTATTACTCTGAATGAAAATTCATTTTAAGATTTATAGTACTATCCATTGGAGAGGGGCTGTGATATTGTTTTCTTCTGAAACACCAAGAGAATTGACTCTTCTACCATTTGTTGAAGGCTTAGTAAGTGCAAGAAACTTAGGGAGACTTACAGGTCCCTAGCCAAAAGAAGCTACATGGCCAAGAAGCATATAAAATACTCAACATCACTAATCACTAGAGAAATTCAAATCAAAACTACAATGAGATATCATCTCACACCAGTCAGAATGGCTATGAATAAAAGTCAAGAAATAACAGATACTGGTGAAGTTGTGGAGAAAAGGGAATGCTTATACAATGCTGGTGGGAATATAAATTAGCTTAGTCACTGTGGAAAGCAGTGTGGCGATTTCTCAAAGAACTTAAAACAGAATTACCACTCGACCCAGCAATCCCAGTATTGGGTCTATACCCAAAAGAATACAAATCGTTCGACCATAAAGACACACGTACATGTATGTTCACTGCAGCTCTATTCACAATCGTAAAGACATGGAATCAACCGAAATGCCCATCACCTACATGCCCATCAGACAGGATGAAGAAAATACGATACATATACACCATGGAATACTATGCAGCCATAAAAAAGAAAGAGATCATGTCCTTTGCAGCAACATGGATGGAGCTGGAGACCTTTATCCTAAGTGAACTAATGCGGAAGAGAAAACCAAATACTACATGTTCTGACTTATAAGTGGGAGCTAAACATTGAGAACACATGGACACAAAGAAGAGAACAAGACACCGGGACCTACTTGAGGGTAGAGGGTGGGAGGAGGGAGAGGATCAGAAAAAGTACCTGTCAAGTACTATGCTTACTATCTGGGTGACAAAATAATTTGTACACCAAACCCACCTGTCAAGCAATTTACCTATAAAACAAACATGTGCATGTACCTCTGAACCTAAAAGTTAAAAAAAAAAAAAAAAAAAGTTTACTATCTACGAAGGATGTGGCAGATATGCAATGGTAACAATAGCTGACATTTAGAGAGTGGTTCTTATATGCAACTAACCACTTCGTATATGTAATAACTCACAAAATCCCCACACCAACTCTGAGGAAAATACTATTACTTCCACAGAGCAGGAACTTCCACAGAAAGGTTAAAATAACGTGACTAAACCTGCCAAGTTCGTAAGCGGTAGCCAGAATCTAAACCTGGATAGTCCGGTCCCGGGGATAGGTTCTTAACCACAAAGGCATTTTCTAAAATTTTTAAAAGTACAGAAGCACAGGAAAGAGACATTTTGGCCAGAATAAGGGTTAAGGGAAGGCTTCATGGATGAAGTGGCATTCGCTCTGGGTCTTGAAGGTCAACAGATGGACAGGGCTCCTGGGGAGGAAGGACTCGAACGGGGAAGGAACAGCCTGACGAAGAGGCACTTTGGGTACCAGCCAGCTGACGACAGCAAGATCAGGTCCGGTGCGCGCGGGAGGAAGCTGGGAAGGGACGCCGCGCCCAGATCCCGAGGTCCTTGAGCACCAGGCCCTCTGCAAGGAACCGGGGAGGAAAATCTCAAACTATTAATAGAAGAGCGGCAAAAAGGAATTCGTGGACACCCCTCCCTGTTGGAAGGACTTTCCCTGCCAGAGACCAAGGCTGGCAGCACAGCTACACTTCCCTCAGAGGGAAACAGCCGACCAAAGTGGTCAAGGTCGCCCGCGCGGGCTCGGGAGCTGTACGTCCTGGCCGAACACTCGCGTCCCGAGCACAGACGCTGCGTATTTGGCTGCTAGCCCGTGCCCGCCAGGCCGGGCCTGGCAGCGCCAACACCTGCTCGGCGGGAACAGGAAGACCTGTCCTCGGGAACTCCCTCCGGCCACCTCCCCGTATCCTCCAGGTCCTCGAAGGTCGAACAGGCGTCCTCTCCTGGACACCCGCCGCGCGCTCGGCTCCTCCCCTCCGCGGGGAGACCGAAGGAATAACAGCCTCTGCGATAGGAGCACGCTCTACCAATCAACCGTAGTCTCCGCCCACGCCTAAGCCGGAGTAAATTGCATTGGTTACATCATTCTCGGCCGCCGATAAGATTGTTTTCTTGGATTGGCTAATAGCGTTCCTTCCCGCCTGGCTCTTCGTCGTCACAAGCTGCCGATTGGTTAATCGCGTTACCAAGCTCTGGACGCGGCTCGACCATTGGAGGCCGCGGGCCCGCCCCCGTCGGCTAGGTGAAGGTGAGAGTCTCCTCCAGTCGCAGCGGCCAGACCTGACAGGCCAGCTCCGGGCGCAGGGTGAAAGGGTTCGATTCCTGCTCTCTCGATATGGCGCCTCCGTCAGTCTTTTCCGAGGTTCCGCAGGCCCAGCCTGTCCTGGTCTTCAAGCTCACTGCCGACTTCCGGGAGGATCCGGACCCCCGCAAGGTCAACCTGGGAGTGGGAGGTAAGGATGCAGTGCTCTGGAGTGCGAGCAGCTCGGGGAGTGGAGCGGACCCACCCCAGGTCGTGGACATTGTGGGAGAAGCTGAGGCCCAGTGTGGCGCTGCTTGAAGAGGGCGGCGCCGGAGAGGAGGCTGGATCCACGAAGGCTTCCTAAAACCTGCCCATTTTACAGATCCGGGTGTGGAGTCCCTGGAAAGGGGTGATGTGTCCGAGGCCGCACAAACCAGATGTAGCAGCCAAGACACAAACTCAGTCTTTCTGATTACCCATTTTGCGTTCTTTATACTACAGCCTCATAAGAAATGGGGCTGCCGGAGCTTGTAGAGAGAGGGAGAAAAATAGGAAGCCTGATAGGCTTAGGGTTCTGGTTGCTGGGAAATGGGTAAAGGAGAACTTTTAACGCTAGGAAGCTCTGTTCTGGGTCGGTAAATATTTGAGTGACCACTGAGTGTCAATCAACTACCTTATTAAGCTTTGTGGGGGGAGACTGAGGTTTGATTTTTGCCCTTAAGGATTTAAAAATCTGCTGATGTTACACATGCTTTGAGACAGTTTAATGCTGCCCCCAGAGGGTCTGGGGAAATGGTTCTGGCCCTCACAGATGTGGTAGGAATGGGTAGAGATGGTGGAAAGGAGTGAAGTATGGATAGTAGAAGCTTACTTTCCACACATCCTGTCTTCATTTCTTTTTTTTTTTTTTTTTTTTTTTTTGAGGCCGAGTCTCGCTCTGTCGCCCAGGCTGGAGTGCAGTGGCGCGATCTCGGCTCACTGCAAGCTCCGCCTCCCGGGTTCCCGCCATTCTCCTGCCTCAGCCTCCCGAGTAGCTGGGACTACAGGCGCCGCCACCACGCCCGGCTAATTTTTTTGTATTTTTAGTAGAGACGGGGTTTCATTGTGTTCGCCAGGATGGTCTCGATCTCCTGACCTCGTGATCCGCCCGTCTCGGCCTCCCAAAGTGCTGGGATTACAGGCTTGAGCCACCGCGCCCGGCCTTCATTTCTTGATTCAAGTGATTCTCATCTGTACCTTGGACAGCTAAGAGCATGGGTCTCAGTTTCCCCATCTGCCAAGAAGAAGACTTGTATTGGAGTGCCTCTCACATTTTTTACCCCTCACCCTCTCTGATGAATTTGTTATTCTTCTCACTGTCATTTGGATGTTTGAAGCCCCACAGACACTTACTTTCTCCGTTTGGATTTTGCCACATGCAAAGCCAGAGGGATGAAAATGGGTAGGATAAAGCCTTATGCTAGGGAATAGACTTAGAATAAAAGGACTAGAAATTGTGGAAAGAGAAGGTGGAATCATTTTGTAGCAGAGTGTGATATGAAGGACGCTCAGAATCAGGTTTCTCATAGATGATGTTTTGTCTGTGCATAGCATTTGTTAAAAAAAGAAAAAAAAGTCGGCCGGGCACAGTGGCTCAGGCCTGTAATCCCAGCACTTTGGGAGACCGAGACGGGCGGATCACGAGGTCAGGAGATGAGACGATCCTGGCTAACATGGTGAAACCCTGTCTGTACTAAAAATACAAAAATTAGCTGGACGTAGTGGTGGGCGCCTGTAGTCCCAGGTACTCGGGAGGCTGAGGCAGGAGACTTGCTTAAATCCGGGAGACGGAGGTTGCAGTGAGCTGAGATTGCACCTGGCCGACAGAGTGAGACTCCGTCTCAAAAAAAAAAAAAAAAGTCTTCCCTAAGGAGTATGGGGAGGGGTAAGGAAAAATCCATTGAAAAGTGATGGTTTGTTGAAGCTGGTAATTTGTTGAAGCTGGGTGGTGGGTACATGGGCATACGTTATATTATTCTCTCAGCTTTTGTATAGGTTTGAAATTTTTCATCATAAACCTTTTAAAATAAGTCAGTACTACATAGTTTAGTCCATTGAGGGAAAATGATGTTTTTAGCAGGCAACAGAGTGGGAGAAATGTTGAAAGATTGCCTCAAATTGAATTTGAGTGGACACCATTTGGTCTCTTAATTTAAATCCCATCCAAAACCTCCAAGTGTTTCTTTGCAGCCAGATATATACAAAGAACTAGTATTACTGTCAGTGTAAATACATCTTTTTAAAACGTCAGATTTGGCCAGGCGCAGTGGCTCACGCCTGTATTCCCAGCACTTTGGGAGGCCAAGGCAAGTGGATCACCTGAGGTCAGGAGTTCGAGACCAGCCTGGCTAACATGGTGAAACCCCGTCTGTACTAAAAATACAAAAATTAGCCGGACGTGGTGGTGCACACTGGTAGTCACAGCTTACTCAGGAGGCTGAAGCAGGAGAATCTCTTGAACCTGGGAGGTGGTGGTTGCAGTGAGCCAAGATCACACCAATTGCACTCCAGCCTGGGTGACAGAGTGAGACTCCATCTCGAGAAAGGAAAAAAAAAGAAAAAATCACGTCAGATTTATTTTATTAATTCAGTTTACCTTTGAACTATCTTACAGGGTTTCTGTGAGGATTAAGTACATTTAAAGTGTTTAGAGCTGTATCTGGCACATAAGTGGGGTTTATGTAAGTGTTAGCTATTATTGTTATTGTTCTGGCATTTCTTTGAGTGATTCTCATAAAAGATATTGAATAAAAATTTTCAGTTCAAGAACTGCAAAATGAACTAATTTATGACATTAGTTTGGAAATAAACTGCTCATGCAGAGAAAAAGCACCCCGACAGCACAGGCCAGAAGCAATGGACTCAGGATTGGAGTCATTGGCTCAGACAGCCACCCCAGCTGTGGTAGTGCCTTTGTCATGTTTTCCAGGAACTCCAGTTCCTTACCATGAGCAAATGATTTATGCATGTAATCTCGTTTAATGCTCACAACTCTGGAGGGTGGTTTATTACTATTACTGTTTAGAAGCAAGGAAGCCGAAGACTGGAGGTGAAGCAATTTGCCCCAGGTCATTTGACCACTGGGTGGTAGAGCTGGGAATCCAGGCCAGGTCTCTCAGACCTCAGAGTCTCTGCCTGCACCTCTATTTCAGGTACCTCCAGGTGGTAGCCAGTACATTGTAGTGGGAAGAGCCAGGAGACCTAGGTACACGCCCAGCACCGTGGTCCAGCAATGTGACCTTGGAAAGGTTATTTAACATCCCTGGGGCTCAGTCTGTTAAATGAGGAGCCAAGACTGAATGACCTTCTCTCAAATTCTACTCTTAAGATTCTACTGTACTAAAAGTCTACTCCACAATTCACTAGCACATTCTATGACTATAGTGTAGGATAGTAATTTTACTGGCCTCATCAGTTGTCTGAGGATTAAATGAATAATTATGTGTGAAATGTGATATGTAAACGAAAAGTGTTATATATAAATGTTATTTTTGATTGTCAGTGTGACCCGTCTTTTTGTGGATAGCAGGTGTTTGGATAAGGGTCTAATTAGAGTAGAATAAAAGGGCTCCTTCCAGCTTTTATATGTCCTAGCCTTATTTATACACATCCCCAAGTATACCCCTTGTGAAGAAAATGTAATTAATCACTGACCTTAAGGAAGATACTTTTTTTCCCCCAAGTTAAGATAAAACCAAATGGAGGTTATCTAGTTAATATACCAGTGATTTTGGATACGTTTAGAATAAACTACAACTGTAATCTCAAGTCAGTTTCTACTTGGAGCTAGTTTCCCCAGAGTTGTTGTTCTTGCTGTGATGATTTAAATAATTTCCTTATAGGTAAACAGAGGAGAGTATCACATTTTCCACTGCTAGGCACAATGCTTTCTAAGTTGATCATTTTAGTGCTTCTCAAAGCTTCAGACTGAAGTGGCTTTAAGGACATGGGAGATGGATCCAACCTGGTGCAAACTGTAGCAAGAAGTTTCTTCAAAGACTCCAGTCCATTTTTTCATGTGAGCCTAGCTTTCTTTTGGCGCAGATATACTCTGCTAGCTTTAATATTTCTTGTTTTCAACATGGTTTCCTAGCATCTTCAAATAAAATAGCTGGAAATATATACTTTATCAGGTGTTTCTGAGTACCCCTGGCCTTCTCCCTAGTATCCTAGTTGGGCTTTTGAGTGGGGATGGATGAGGGAAGTGGAGATCTTAGGAAGATGAGGGTGATGGTTTGACCATTTACATCTCCGTCTTCTTTCTTCCTTTCCTTCTTGCAAAGCAAGACTGCTGGGCCCACATGGGCCCACCTGTAGACTTTGTGAGTCCCCTAAAAGGGCTTGTACCCAAGAAGAAGACCAGTGGTGCATGGAGCTGGGGAGCATGCTGATAAAAAGGCCCCTGACATGGTCCCAGGGGCCTGCTTGCTTCAGGCTTTCTCTAGACATCTCTTGCTTTTAAAAAAGCACATGGATCCATGAACTGACAGCCTAGCTCTTGTTATCTCTGTGATCCTGGGCAAATCATTTGACTTTTCTGGCCACAGTGGCCAGATCCTTAAAATAGACATCACAGTATCTATTTTGTGGATTGCTATACAAATTAAATGAGAGTAAAGAAATGTATTTAGCGCAGTACCTTGTATGTACAAAGTAGTAAATCCGTGTTATTATTCTGCCCTCAGTTTCCATCAATGTCTTTCTCCATGTCCCAGACCTCATCTCTGAATGTCAGGCCTATAGTGGACACATCCTACAGCTCCCTCAAATTCAGCGTGTTCAAAGCACAACTCATCATTTCTACCTTCCCCTTGATCTTTTCTTTTATCTTCCCCTTGTGTTCTAGAGCTTGGTCCACCCCCCCACCACCACTCACTCATTATCCAGACGTGAGGGAGACCTTGGAGTTAACAGCAGTCCTTTCCCCAGTCCCCTGTCTGTTTATTTGGTCAATAGGTTCTGTCTTTTCTACCTCAAATCTATTTCCAGTGGCACTCCTTTTCTTTATCCCTGCTGCCATTGCATGAATTCAAGGCCTCATTATTTCCCTTCTGGAATATTGCAGTAGCTTTCTACTGCTTCTACTTCTAGTAACTCACCCTTCTTAACTACTGTCTCTGTCCTTCTCTCCGGTTTATTTTCTGTGGTGTCACTCAAATGATCCCGTTAAAATGTGCAACTGTTCATGTCACTCGCTTGCTTAAATGCTTTCAGTGATTACCCATTGAAACTGAAGTTCCTTAAAAGAGACTCCAGGATTCTTTTAGCCACTCCTTAATAGTAATAAGCTAATAATTAATAATAAGCTAATCCTTAATGGATTCCATGTCAGAGTCGTGAAAATGTAGATCCTCAAAGACCTCATGCTCCCCAGGCCTCTGGGGCCTTACACAGGTGTGCCCTCTGGCATGCCCTTCTTCCCTTGTTTACCTTTTAAACTCTAATTCATCTTTCATTCTTCATCCTCTGCAAAATCTTCTTTGACTCCTCAAAGTAGAATTAAAGGCTCTATCTATGCTCTGTGTTTCTTGGAGGGCAGACAGGATCTTATTTTATCAATCTCTGTAGCTTCTACGAGCCAGTGCCTAGCTCATAGTGAGACTTAGTATTTGTTATGTGAATGGGTGAATGAAAGAGTGAATGAGAAACTCAAGGATCCAACAAATAGGAATAAAAATTCTTGGGGAGAGCAGTAATAGTGGTTGCTGATAATGCCTGACCTCACTGCTCCAGTCATCCAAGAGGAATCTGGTTCTGCTTCACTAGGGCAGTAAGGAGAGGCATTGGGAACAAATCTAGAACTTAGCCTGGGAAAAACTGGGCAATGGAGAACTGGCCAGTTTTTTTAGTCACAGTATAGACGCAATGCCTCTCCAACCATCTCCAACCCAAGTAGTAGGAATTTTAGAGTTTCAGAAAATATTCAGTAGTGGTAAGAACAGCAGTATTCCAGTCTTTTCTTTCTCTTTCATATTTTATTTATCTGTAACACATTATTTAGAATGACATATTATCATAAATATAAACATATAGCCTAATAATGTTATAGAATAGATATAACACCCAGACACAGAACTAAAACATAACAGAACTGGTTTTTTATAAACACCCCAAATTTTTGTGCATCTAAATAGTATCCTTTGTAGGTAGTTCAAATATGCTTTTCTTGTTCCAAGATTTCTGGAAACCCCTTTTAGACTGGCTGTCAAGGCATGTAGGACCCACACAAGAGATCATTTTTAAAAATAATTGTTCTCCGTGAGTTTTACCCAGTTTATTCACTCACGCTCTTCAGTGGAGATGATGCAAATGCTATTCCCCAAAAATAATTAACTTTGAAAGGACGAAGATTTGGCACTATCGAGGATATTCAAAATAATGAGATGTGGCCTCTAAAAACAATTCCAAAAGAAGTTTCAAGAATATTTTGAACAATGGTAGCATTGTGATCATAGATAGGTTGATGTGCTTAAGGGACAACTCTTACTTGGAAGTAGTTATTTTGGTACATCTTTGGAGAAACCAGACCAAATCCCAGCTGACGAAGGAAGCTTTTTGAACTTGTTGAGAAGTTTGGTGGACTAAGGGGTATACTATGAATGGTATGAGAGTATTGTGAGTTGGGCCAGGCATGGTGGCTCACGCCTGTAATCTCAGCACTTTGGAAGTCCGAGGCGGGAGGACTACTTGAGCCCAGGAGTTTGAGACCAGCCTGGGCAACAAAGTGAGGCCCTGTTTCTATGAAAAATTGAAAAAAAAAAATTAGCTGGTCATGGTGGTGAATGACTTTGGTCTCGGCTACATGGGATGTTGAGGCAAGAGAATTGCTTGAGCCCAGGGGGTTGAAGCTGCAGTGAGCTGTGTTCGTGCCACTGCACTCTCGCCTGGGCAACAGAGTGAGACCCTGTCTCAAAAAGAGAAAAAAATATTATGAGTTAGATTCACTAGAGACGGAAGGTAGACTATGAGTGATATGAGAGTATTATTTGATTCACCTACCCAGAGGCATTTGGTCAGTGGCTCTCAGTCCGTAGCCCTGCCTACATTTCTATTACTAGCTTGAAATGTTTCTCAGATTTGCAGATGACACATTCCTGGAGGGTAGAGTTAGCTGATAGAAGACATTCAAAGCGATCTTATAAAGTCTTTTATTTGCTGTATATCCTGTGACCTAATAAATTAACATTTAGATATTTTTCCTAAGAAAACACTCAGGAATATGCATAAATATGAGCATTTATCACAATGTTTATAATAGCAAATAATTTAAAGCAACACAGTTAATACGTTATATATAAAAAGAAATATTATTTAGCCTCTAAAATGATGTTGTAAATGGTTCATATGTATGAAAAATACCCAACTGCATTCATAATAAGAGAAATGCAAATTAAAACTACTTGATATATTATATTGGCAAAAATTCACTCAGTGCATAAGGCTATGTGGAAGCAAACACTCTTAAACAGTGCTGGTGGGAATGTAAACTGATATAATTCCTGTATCAATTTGGACAATTTGGAAATATTTGTCAAAACTACAAAAACACATACTTCTTAGCCCACCCTTTTGTTTTCCACCCGGCATCTTACAAATATATTTGCATACGTGTGAGATGACGTATGTACAGGGTTGTTCACTGAAGTATTGTTTTAATAGCCAAAGATTGTAAACAATTCAAATGTCCAACAAGAGACTGACAAAGTAAAATATGGTACATTCATCAGTTAAGGAATTGTAAAAAGAACAAGGACACTATGTGCAAATGTAAAACAATCTTCAAGTGAAGAAGCAAGGAACACAAAACAGTGTATAGTACACTGTATGCTACCTTTTGTTTAAAAGGGCATATGTAAGAAGCTGTGTTTGCTTGTGTAAGCATAGGGAAATGCTGGAAGGATATTTAAGAAACTAACAGTTGTTATTTGGGAGGGATTTGATAACTAGGTAGATAGAGGATAGGAATGGGATGGAGACATGCAAACATGTCACCTATTAGAAGAATAGTTAATGAGGAAGAAAAATTCATAATATATATTTAAATGGAAAAAAGCATGTTGAAATTCTATGTACAGTATGATCCATATTTTATAAAAGAATATGGCCATCAAAAATAAAGCTTAGAAGGTTGTACACCAAAATTTTCATACTCCTTGTCTCTGAGTACTGGGATTATATGTTATGTTAGTTCTCAACACTGCTATAAAGAACTACCTGAGACTGGGTAATTTATAAAGAAAAGAGGTTTAATGGACTCATGGTTCCACAGGCTATATAAGAAACATGGTTGGGAGGCCTCAGGAAACTTACAATCATGGAGGAGGGGTGAAGGGCAAGCAAGCACCTTCACATGGCGGAGCAGTAGAGAGAGCAAAGTGGGAGGTGCTACACACTTTTAAACAACCTGATGTAGTGAGAACTCACTTGCTGTCACAAGAAAAGCAAGGGAGAAATCTGCCCCCATGGTCCATCAACACTGGGGATTACAATTGAACATGAGATTTGGGTGGGGACACAGGGCCAAACCATATCATTCCACTCCTGACCCCTACCAAATCTCATTTCCTTCTCACGTTTCAAAACACAATCACACGTTAATTATGTTTATTTTTTATCTTCTGGGCTTTTCCCAATTTTCTGCAATCAATGTGTTGTTCAGTAAACAATAACAACAACCCTAAAATGTGATTTTTTTTTTTTTTTTAAGTCAGGGATTAATGTTGGGCAGAAATCAAGAAAATAAAAATCAGAATCAGTCTAAAATTTTGTTTCCATTTCAAAATTACTTGCGTAAGTATAGGCTTATTCTGGACCTAAACATTCAAGCAGAGAGGCAAACGACCCCTGCCAGGAGTCCTACTTGGAGAGATTATTGACGTGGGTGCAAGGCTAAAGCAACTGCCCTGTAAAGCTCTAATCCTAACATAATCATAGAATAGTGTAGGGAAAGAAATTGGTGATGGATAACTCAGAGTGACTTAAAAATACTTTCAGAGGAAGAGGAAATACTTAGAGGTTTACTGTAGAGCAAGATTAAATATTGTGAACCAGATCAATTTAGATCAATGAAAGGGTGAGGCAGATGAAGTGGGATGAAGTTGGAAGGGTAAACACTGGCTGAGGTCAGAATACAGAGAGGATAAAGATGTGTTTAAGTGGGTCCTTGGGTGATTGTGTCACCTGTTGTTGAAATCCTCAGGGCATTTGCTTATCATTTGTCTTATTTCTGCTCTTCTAGGACAGGAGGAGTGGTGGGCCTTCTTCTGCTCCTTCTCCATGTTTGTGTTAAAGGTGCCAAGTTCATGTGGAAGTAGCACCTAGGCTTTTTCTGGAAGTCTCTTGGGGAGATGCAGAAGGAAGACTGCTGGGCCAATGGCCTAGAGACTTCAATGCAATAGCGATATTGACATGACATTTGCAAGTTGCTTTTTACTTTGCAGAGTGCTTTTCTATGTACTGTCTTATGTGACCAGGCTCTGTGATGTCCCAGTTTCATTTCAGCATTCTACTTTTTGGAGGTCACATAGTTAAGAGCTGTAAGTTCCACAAGGATGGGGACCACATCTGCCCTTATGTTTGCCCAACACCTACCCCAGTGCTTGGCTCAAATTAGGTACTCAGTAAGTGAACGAACTTTTCTCCAATTTCCTTCACTGTTCTGTTTTGACTGGAAGGTGGTGGGATTCTCCCAGTTCACAGTTACACACTCTTACCTTGGATACAGCCTGAGCCTCCTCTGTGTATAACCCTTTTCCATTCTCCAGCATATCGCACCGATGACTGCCATCCCTGGGTTTTGCCAGTAGTGAAGAAAGTGGAGCAGAAGATTGCTAATGACAATAGCCTAAACCACGAGTATCTGCCAATCCTGGGCCTGGCCGAGTTCCGGAGCTGTGCTTCTCGTCTTGCCCTTGGGGATGACAGCCCAGCTCTCAAGGAGAAGCGGGTAAGTTTTGGGTGAGAATGTATTTTCTCTTTAGAAACTGAAAGTCATCCTGTTCTTACAGTTGGTGACTTCCCCTCACTCCACTAGAGGTCCTGCCATTCTAAGAGCCTTGCTGTTTTCTAGACTTACTGGGCCCTGCCATGACTAAGAACCTTTGCCTGGCCCTTCCCTCCACTTGGAATGCCCTCCCTTACTTCTCTAGGTCTGCAGTCCCCACCTCTAAGTCCTTCAAGAGCTGATCAGGGATCACTTCCACACTGAGTCCTTAGGTATTTTAGGCAGAGCTTGTTGTTTAAGCTCTCTGAGTTATCACAGGACTTTGTTCACAGCTTGGGAATAACAGTACTTAACTGTGCTTACTATAGTGGACAATTTTATAAGTCTTCATCTCCCACAAGACCCTAACTTTCCCCAGAGCAGGGATCATTGCTTACTTATTTACCTTGCAGATTTTCAGCATTTGGCTCTTATCCAGGTACCTCAGATTACAGAGGTTTGGATTCATTCATTCCTTCAGTCATCAGATGCCCACTACTAGAGCCAGGCACTGTTCAGATGCTAGAGCACAGCAGGGACTCAAATATACAGAATCCTCTGCCTTTGCTTTCAGTTTTGGGGAGAGGAATGGACTACAAATGTAATCTTATTGACTATATCAATAAGAAAATGATGTAGTATACTAAAGATGATAAATGCTATGAAAATAGAGCAGGAGGAGGCATGTTAGGAATTCTGGGAGTGGATACAGTTTTAACTAGGGTGGTTATGATAGAAATAGAAATGACATTTGAGCCAAAACTAAAGATGAGACATAAATGAAAGAATGAATGAACAAGAAAACCAGCAGTAATCATTTCTTCCCTTAGATTTTTCTTTCCAGATCCTTTACCCATTTTGTGGAGACCTATTTTCTAGACTCCTCACTCCCTTGTACTACTTTTCCACTTTTAGATCTTAGGATCCAGACAGAAATGTTCATTTTTCATCCCCAGCGTAGTTTCAGCTTTGAGATTACTGAGCATTGTAGAAAGGAGGGCTCGTGGGCCATAACTCATTGTCACATCATGACATCCCACTCTCGCTTTGATTGCCTGTAGGAGACTTGGGGCTTTTGCTGTGGCTCACATCTTTTCACCACTTGCTGAGACCAGCTCGGATGGGGAGACCCAAAACCAGCGGCGCTACAGGAATTAAAGACATACACATAGAAATATAGGGGTGTGAAGTGGGAAATCAGGGGTCTCACAGCCTTCAGAGCTGAGAGCCTCAAACAGAGATTTACCCACTTATTTATTGACAGCAAGCCAGTGATAAGCATTGTTTTTATAGATTATAGATTAACTAAAAGTATTCCTTATGGGAAACAAAGGGATGGGCTGAAATAAAGGGATGGGTTTGGCTAGTTAACTGCAGCAGGAGCATGTCCTTAAGGCACAGATTGCGCTTGCTGCTGTTAGTGGTTTAAGAACGCCTTTAAGCGGTTTTCCACCCTGGGTGGGCCAGGTGTTCCTTGCCCTCATTCTGGTAAACCCACAACCTTCCAGCGTGGGGGTTATGGCTATCATGAACATGTCACAGTGCTGCAGAGATTTTGTTTATGGCCAGTTTTAGGGCCAGTTTATGGCCAGATTTTGGGGGGCCTGTTCCCAACAACCACTGTCTTCTTTCTTCGTCTAGTTCAGCACATGCTTATGTAGTACCATGTGCCGGATGCCGTGAGAGATGCTGGAGCCACCCAGATGAATGCAGTATGGCTCTGGCCACAGGCAGCTCCTGGTTGCTCTCCTAGTCCTCACAGTGAAGTCATAGTATTGACAAATTGTTATCTCAGACAAGGGTTCTAGAATCCAGCAATCATATGCTGACATGTCTAGCAGTGGCCTGCTCTGTCTAGCTTCATACCAAGTCTTCCTGGATTTCCCTTGTTCTGGATACTCCTGTTTACCCAGGTCCAGTTGCCTGGCTCCTTGAGAAGTCTGTACTTATTTCCTTTGATGTTGTGATTTTCCTTTATAACAAGTACATTCTTAGGCTGTAGGACAATTTGCCAAAAATCAGTTCGCAGAATGACCAAATTGCTGTGTTATTGATTCACCAAAAACTTGTTTCTGTTAATTGCTGATATTTAGAGCAACTTGTGTTTCACTGAAGCCATCCAGTATTTAATATAGTTTTAGGGAGTGATAACTTCTTGAGAATTTGATATTTCAAGTGTCATATATATCATGGATGTCAAGGATTAGTTAATGTGGAGTGGGTTTATCTCTTCTAAGCACATTTTTTTTTTCATTATATTTTTTTTTTTTTTTTAAATTTATTTATTATTATTATACTTTAAGTTGTAGTGTACAGGTGCATAACGTGCAGGTTTGTTACATATGTATACTTGTGCCGTGTTGGTGTGCTGCACCCATCAACTCATCATTTACATCAGGTATAACTCCCAATGCAATCCCTCCCCCCTCCCCCCTCCCCATGATAGGCCCCTGTGTGTGATGTTCCCCTTCCTGAGTCCAAGTGATCTCATTGTTCAGTTCCCACCTATGAGTGAGAACATGCGGTGTTTGGTTTTCTGTTCTTGTGATAGTTTGCTAAGAATGATGGTTTCCAGCTGCATCCATGTCCCTACAAAGGACTCAAACTCATCCTTTTTGATGGCTGCATAGTATTCCATGGTGTATATGTGCCACATTTTCTTAATCCAATCTGTCACTGATGGACATTTGGGTTGATTCCAAGTCTTTGCTATTGTGAATAGTGCTGCAATAAACATATGTGTGCATGTGTCTTTATAGCAGCATAATTTATAATCCTTTGGGTATATACCCAGTAATGGGATGGCTGGGTCATATGGTACATCTAGTTCTAGATCCTGGAGGAATCGCCATACTGTTTTCCATAATGGTTGAACTAGTTTACAATCCCGCCAACAGTGTAAAAGTGTTCCTATTTCTCCACATCCTCTCCAGCACCTGTTGTTTCCTGACTTTTTAATGATCACCATTCTAACTGGTGTGAGATGGTATCTCATTGTGGTTTTGATTTGCATTTCTCTGATGGCCAGTGATGATGAGCATTTTTTCATGTGTCTGTTGGCTGTATGAATGTCTTCTTTTGAGAAATGTCTGTTCATATCCTTTGCCCACTTTTTGATGGGGTTGTTTGTTTTTTTCTTGTAAATTTGTTTGAGTTCTTTGTAGGTTCTGGATATTAGCCCTTTGTGAGATGAGTAGATTGCAAAAATTTTCTCCCATTCTGTAGGTTGCCTGTTCACTCTGATGGTAGTTTCTTTTGCTGTGCAGAAGCTCTTTAATTTAATGAGATCCCATTTGTCAATTTTGGCTTTTGCTGCCGTTGCTTTTGGTGTTTTAGACATGAAGTCTTTGCCCATGCCTATGTCCTGAATGGTACTACCTAGGTTTTCCTCTAGGATTTTTATGGTATTAGGTCTAACATTTAAGTCTCTAATCCATCTTGAATTAATTTTCGTATAAGGAGTAAGGAAAGGATCCAGTTTCAGCTTTCTACTTATGGCTAGCCAATTTTCCCAGCACCATTTATTAAATAGGGAATCCTTTCCCCATTTCTTGTTTCTCTCAGGTTTGTCAAAGATCAGATGGCTGTAGATGTGTGGTATTATTTCTGAGGACTCTGTTCTGTTCCATTGGTCTATATCTCTGTTTTGATACCAGTACCATGCTGTTTTGGTTACTGTAGCCTTGTAGTATAGTTTGAAGTCAGGTAGCGTGATGCCTCCAGCTTTGTTCTTTTGACTTAGGATTTTCTTGGAGATGCGGGCTCTTTTTTGGTTCCATATGAACTTTAAAGCAGTTTTTTCCAGTTCTATGAAGAAACTCATTGGTAGCTTGATGGGGATGGCATTGAATCTATAAATTACCTTGGGCAGTATGGCCATTTTCACGATATTGATTCTTCCTATCCATGAGCATGGTATGTTCTTCCATTTGTTTGTGTCCTCTTTTATTTCACTGAGCAGTGGTTTGTAGTTCTCCTTGAAGAGGTCCTTTACATCCCTTGTAAGTTGGATTCCTAGGTATTTTATTCTCTTTGAAGCAATTGTGAATGGAAGTTCATTCCTGATTTGGCTCTCTGTTTGTCTGTTACTGGTGTATAAGAATGCTTGTGATTTTTGCACATTAATTTTGTATCCTGAGACTTTGCTGAAGTTGCTTATCAGCTTAAGGAGATTTTGGGCTGAGACAATGGGGTTTTCTAAATATACAATCATGTCATCTGCAAACAGGGACAGTTTGACTTCTTCTTTTCCTAACTGAATACCCTTGATTTCTTTCTCTTGCCTAATTGCCCTAGCCAGAACTTCCAACACTGTGTTGAATAGGAGTGGTGAGAGAGGACATCCCTGTCTTGTGCCAGTTTTCAAAGGGAATTTTTCCAGTTTTTGCCCATTCAGTATGATATTGGCTGTCGGTTTGTCATAAATAGCTGTTATTATTTTGAGGTACGTTCCATCAATACCGAATTTATTGAGCGTTTTTAGCATGAAGGGCTGTTGAATTTTGTCAAAAGCCTTTTCTGCATCTATTGAGATAATCATGTGGTTCTTGTCTTTGGTTCTGTTTATATGCTGGATTATGTTTCTTGATTTGCGAATGTTGAACCAGCCTTGCATCCCAGGGATGAAGCCCACTTGATCATGGTGGATAAGCTTTTTGATGTGTTGCTGAATCCGGTTTGCCAGTATTTTATTGAGGATTTTTGCATTGATGTTCATCAGGGATATTGGTCTAAAATTCTCTTTTTTTGTTGTGTCTCTGCCAGGCTTTGGTATCAGGATGATGTTGGCCTCATAAAATGAGTTAGGGAGGATTCCCTCTTTTTCTATTGATTGGAATAGTTTCAGAAGGAATGGTACCAACTCCTCCTTGTACCTCTGGTAGAATTCAGCTGTGAATCCATCTGGTCCTGGACTTTTTTTGGTTGGTAGGCTATTAATTATTGCCTCAATTTCAGAGCCTGCT